GTCAGGCTATTATCAGTTACGGGTTAGAGAGGAGGATATTCCAAAGACCGCTTTCCGTACGCGGTATGGACATTATGAGTTTCTTGTCATGCCATTTGGTCTGATTAACGCACCAGCAGCATCCATAGATCTAATGAATCATGTCTTCCACGATTACTTGGACTAATTTGTGGTAGTTTTCGTGGATGACATTCTTGTGTATTCACGGACTCGGGAGGATCACGAGGTCCATTTGAGTATAGTGTTGCAGATTCTACGGGAGCACCGTTTATATGCCAAATATGAAAAGTGTGTGTTTTGGCTACAAGAGGTGAAGTTTTTGGGACATGTTGTCTCGGAAAGTGGGGTTTCAGTTGATCCTTCAAGATAGAGGCAGTTCTGAATAGGGAGCAACCCAAGAATGTCTTTGGGATCCGGAGTTTCCTTGGCCTAGCGAGTTATTATCGGAGATTTGTGAAGGATTTTTCTCGTTTTGCAGCTCTTATGACTAGATTAACCCCGAAAGGGATCAAGTTTGCATGGAATGAGGCCTGTGAATCATCCTTTCAAGAGTTTAAAACAAGGTTGACTACGGCTCTAGTGTTGGTGATACCTGAGCGTGGCTTAGGTTATGTGATATATTGTGACGCCTCATGTGATGGTTTTGGTTGTGTACTGATGCAGGATGGTAGAATAGTGGTTTATGGGTCTCGACAGTTGAAGACTCATGAGCATAACTACCCTACTCATGACTTGGAGTTAGTGGCAGTCGTGTTTGCCTTGAAGTGTTGGAGAAACTATTTGTATGGTGAGAGATTTGAGGTGTTCTCGGACCACAAGAGTCTCAAGTACCTTTTTTCCCAAAAGGACTTGAACAACAAGCAGAGGCGATGGGTTGAGTTCTTGGAAGACTATAACTTTGATTTGCAGTATCATCCGGGTAAGGTAAATGTGGTAGCTGATGCCTTAAGTCGGAAATCTCGTGGGACCTTGGACAGTTTAGCCACTCGAAAGTGGAAGATACTTGAAGATTTGGCATAAATGGGGTTGTATTGCTTTGATGATGATGATGGCAGTGAGTCAGCATTCTTGTTTAGTCTCATGGCTCAGCCTACTCTTGTCAGACTGGTGATTGAGTTACAGAGACATGATTCAAATTTGGATGCCATTTACACTTTAATCTCTAGTGGCGAGACTGTGAAGGATTGGACCTTATATGCAGATGGAGGTCTACGGTTTAGGGGTTTGTTGGTTGTTCCCACAGTTGATCGTGAGGATGTTTTACATGAATTTCATACTTCCTGCTTTGCAGTTCATCCAGGTGGTACCAAGATGTATCACAATTTGATACGTTAATATTGGTGGAGTGGGATGAAAAATGATGTTGCACAGTTTGTGGCTAAATGCCTCACCTGTCAGCGGGTGAAGGTTAAGCACCAGAGACCAGCTGGTTTATTGTAACCATTGCCGGTGGCGCAATGGAAATGGGAGGAGATTGCCACGGATTTTGTGACAGGTCTTCCTAGGTCACGGAGGGGAAATGAAGCCGTATGGGTCACTATTGATAGATTGACCAACACGGCTCGCTTCTTACCTATTAAGGCAACAGATGATGCAGAGGCACTTGGTGTACTTTATGTGAAAGAGATTATAAGATTGCACAAAGTTCCAGTGGCTATTGTTTCAGATAGGGATGCCAAGTTCACTTCAAAGTTCTGGGAAGGACTTCAAACAGCGTTTGGTTCATCGTTGCACCTTAATACGACATTCCATCCATTGACGGATGGCCAGTCAGAGCGTACCATCCAGATCTTGGAGGATATGCTTCGGGCCTGTGTACTTGACTTGGGTGGTAGTTAGGAATATCACCTTCCACTTATTGAGTTTGCCTACAACAATATTTATCATGCGAGTATTCAGATGGCTCCATTTGAAATGTTGTATAACAGACCTTGTAGGTCTCCTCTTTGTTGGACTAAGGTGGGCGAGACAGCCGCCTTAGGACCCGACATTGTACTCGAGACTACTGAGAAGATTAAGTTAATCAGACAGAGGTTACTCATAGCTTAGAGTCGACAAAAGAGTTATGCAGATAGGCGGAGACGACTGCTATCCTTTGAGGTGGGAGACCACTTTTTCTTCGGGTTTTTCCACAGAAGAGGTTGATGCGATTCGGGAAGAGCGGCAAGTTGTCGCCACAATTCATTGGACCTTTTGAGATCTTAGACCGTGTAGGAGAGGTTGCCAATAGACTAACATTACCACCACAGATGGACAGGGTCCATAATGTTTTCCATGTATCGATGCTACGGAAGTATGAGCTGGATCCATCTCACGTTTTGAGTTGGATTGGGGTTGACATTGATGAGGATGTTTCCTATAAGGAGGGACCAGTTCAGATTCTTGATACACGACAGAAGGTGTTGAGGAAAAAGATGATACCGTTGGTAAAGATTTTTTGGAGGCATCACGGAGTTGAGGAGGCTACTTGAGAGCTCGAACAGGAGGCTCGCTCCAAGTATCCAGAGTTGTTTTCTCCCTCAGGTATAGCTTGATTTCGGGGACAAAATCTTTTAAAATTAGAGAGAATGTAATGTTGTGAATTGTTTTATATATATATATATATATAATTAAAAGGTTAGATATTTCAATTGTGGTGGGACCCACCACTTGATTTTAGTGGCCAAAAGGGCCGATTCAGTCCCATTCTTTCTCTTTTCCCATAATCTGCTCTTTCTCTCACTTGTTCTTCATTTTTCCTTTTTCTTTTGTTTCAAAAATTCAAGTTTTAATTAATCTCTCATCTCTTGGAGTTTTTGGGGGTCGTTTGTGGCAAAATGGAGAGCACGGCGAAATCTACGTATCAGTACAAACAATTTCAGCTTTTGGCCTCCACTAGGATTTCGAATTTGAGACCCATTTTGAGGGTTTTCCTACAAATTTGAGGTAGGGGCCTCTAATTCACTGTCTTCTTGTACTTTTGTGAATTTATTTCTTATATATTGTGTAATTACATGCTTAATTAGTAAAAGTTCTTGGAAATTGCTTAAATACCATATATGAAATTGTGACAAGGTGTAAATTGATTATATTGTGTTTAAGCATGTTTATGTGAAATAAATTTGTGATTTGTATGCTTAAATTGCTAGGAAAAAAAATGAAAGCATGAGTTATTTATTTTAGTAATTTATTTGTAAAAGCATGTGGGAACTTTATGGTTGAATTTATGAAATGATGTGTATTTTAGTAATTTATTTGTAAAAGCATGTGGGAACTTTATGGTTGAATTTATGAAATGAAACATGAAGCATTCATACATCCATTGGGAAAGAAAAAAAAAATGTTTTAAAATAAATGAAATTGATTTTGGGAAAATATTTTCAAAGGTGTTTGCGAAAACCGGATGCCTATGAGGCGCTTAGTGGTCCGTGTTGTTAGTCTAGTCTAGAAGGGAGTATGGTTGAGCTAACTAGGCCGGATGTGATGCCTTGGAGGTGCCTTGTGGTCGTGGATAGTTAGTCAACCTTCCATTCGTGATGCCTTGGAGGTGCCTTGGGTCGGATTATACTAACGGTTTGGAAGTTGAACGAAAATGTTTCGGAAACAGGGAGCGACATTTGCATAACATTGCACTTCATGACATTGTGGGAAATTTGTGATTGGTTGACATTTGCTACATACTTGTTGTTGTGGTTGAGAATATTCCCCATGGTATGACCCCGTTCTTTTTTGCCCATTCTTTGTGTGGAATTTATGGGGATATAAGAAGTGTGTCTTAGACGCTTTCTAATGAGCTTATGCACACTCCATTATTTTTATTATTTTTCAAGATACGGAAAAGAGGTGGCGGACAACGATCCACCACAAGTTTAGACGAGATTGGAGATCTATTTTATTTTGCTATCTTTTGTATTAGAAACCTAATATTTTATAAATGTAATCTTAACTATTTTGTGAAACTTTAGTTTAAATGAGTATAATGTTGTAAGTTATGGGCTTTTAAATTTTAGCTACATTTATGGATTGTAACTTGATGTAACTAAGATGTGTTCCTTATTTGGATGAGATGGAGGAATGAGACTTTTTATATGAATGTAATCATTTTGGGAATGCGATATAATAATTGTATTGTGCGTTGGGACATGATTGGTTAGTTTTAAGGCCCAGTGAGGTCATTGCATTTTTATATATTTTCAACAGGTTGTAAAGGGACTTTTTCTGCGGAAGTCATGCCAAAATTTTATATATTTTATTATTATTATTTTAGTATCTTTTTGGGTCGTTACTAGTTTTTAGTTTTCTGAGTAACAAACCAAGCACACCTTAGTTTCGAGTGAAAGTTGTATCATTATATGTTCATTTACTCTTATACCCTACAAGTTGTTTCTCTTTGTTAACAAAAGGAGAGTTTTTTTTTTTTTTTTTTTGCACAAATAAATATTCCTAATTTGGTTACAACTCCCGTGCTCTTCAAATTAAAGCTCTTTGCTACACTTAGAAAACAAAGTAAACTAATATAATAGCATAGTCCTAATATACAATGCAAACTTTCCAAAACAATTAAATAAATAGATAAATAAAAATATAAAGAGACAAATATCAAATATACATCTAGACATATATACATATATATTTATTCATAAATTCAATTGTATATATTATTTTATTATTATTATTATTATTTTATTTATTGCGTGATATATATATTATTAAGTACTGTATTAAATTCACAAGAGTAATTTTGACATGTAAAATCTTTTTTCTTTCACATTCTTACTATCCAAATTAATTTAACAATATTTTCTCACAAATAACAAATTTCTTCATAAAATTTCATGCTACCAAAATGCATAATAGTAAACTAGTTTATTTTTATTTTTATTTTTATTTTTTTAGCTAACAAAGGACCTATGAAATCGGACACAATTCTCGTATTAAAAAAAAAAAATAAATAAATAAAAAACGTGCGAGCATGTGAGTGACACGGGTAAACGCAATGGGAAACACAATAGCGCCGGTTGTGTGTGATTAGTGACGGAGAAAACCGAGTTTTGGACATGCTGAGAAGGGTCTGCAGTCTGCAATTTCATAGCAAAAGTTGGACCACGTCACACTATTTTGTTTTCTATAGAGAGAGAGAAAGTAGCAGCAGAGAATGAATGAGAACCCCGCCTTCTCTTCTTTCCCTCACAATTGACTCTGCCCTCATTAACCTCCTCAATATCTCCGATCTCTCCTTCTTACCCGAACACATTCTCCTTGAGCTCTTTACGGTACTCTCTCTCTCTATATATATATGCATACGGTGTGTATATAACTATGTGCATGCTTTTTGTTTATTACCTGCTTTAATTCATATGAAACAGTGGAAATGAATTATTTTTTTCGGAAGTTACTGGAAATGAATTATTAGTTTCTGATATCCATGATTTAGGTTATTCTTTGTTCTTGCCTGAACTGCACACTTCTTAAGCTGGGATTGTTCTAATTTATTTTTTAGGTCAAAGTTCTTCTGATAGAACTGTGTATTAGTTATTAACTTTACAATCTAGAAATTTCAATTAGGGTTTGATTTGGAAAACTGGGGTTCACCATCTCTCTCTATATAGAGCGTATAGTAGGCGTTTGCCATTTGGGTGAACAAGGAGAAAATTGATAAGTAGATATTTAGTGATTTAAAGACAGTTGAAGCTGTCGAATTTCATTTTTCTTCTGTTCAATTTTCTGTTTCCAACAATTGATATTAGAATGTTATATCAAAGAGTATGCCAGAATTTCTCTGACACATAATTGGTTTTGTTTGAACTTAAATTTACTCTGCTATGATACGTAATTTCAAGATCTTGTTATTATTATTTTTTGGTTCAGTTTAGTTCTGAATCACTGTTTTTATGGACTTCTTTTTGGTGATTCTCTGTTTGGCAAAGCAATGCTTATATATTGGATAAAAATCATAAAAGTTTTTGAAGTTACTTCTATGAATACAAAAATTACACCTTTGCTGTTTAGTCAAAGCATACTATTATTAATTTGGGAAGTGAAACTTTTGAGTTCCTGCTATGAGTGCCACACCATGATCAAGTCACAAAACTTTTAATACCCCAACAGAAGTGCTTCTTTTCCTGCTTTCTTGTTAAGTGTTTACACTTTGTTATACAAAAATATAGTCATATATGCCTTTGTGTATGGATTAACAGCAAAATGAAAGGGGAAAAAGAAAATGTAAAATTGCAAACTGTTGAACCAGGATAATTCCCTTTTTATTTTTCTAGCAATGTGTTTTGGCAAACCCTTGAGTACACTGAAAGCTATCCTGTAGGATCTGTACATAGATATATGGAATACTCTGTAGATTGATTTATGGAACTTCTATGAGGAGACCCCAAGAGGCAGGGCTGAAGCTTTATCGATTTTTCAGTGATTGACATAATTTCACATGTGGTTTTTGTTTTAATAACCCGTTTGGAAACATATTGGTTTTACGTATGTCATGAAGAAATGTGATCCAAGTTATAGTGTTATTTGATTGTTCTCTATTTATTTTGTTTTGAATCTTATGCAGGAACTAGGAAGCCTGGAACTACTACTTAGCTGTATGTTTGTTTCTTATTTGGAATAGTTACAAAATTACTTTCTATGTCCCACATATATTGTTTAGCTAATATTTTATGTACAATAGTCCATTATCAAAATTTAAATGCATTATCCTAAAAAGAGTCATAATGGTTGCATTTGTTATTATGGATTTGAAATGAAAGGATATAGGATTGCAATTTGCAAATATATTGTACACTTGACTATTGGAGTTGGATCGAGAGAGATGAGGGAGTGAATAGAGTAGAATTGGAGAGTTTTTTTTAACTAGAAACCTTCTGCAATTAGGATATTTGATTCTATGGGTTCAAATGACTCCCTTCACGTTGTTATTTTGAAATTTGAATTCATTGAAATAAGGGTGAAAAATCTATCTGTGGTTTTGAATCCAGGTCATAATCCTTAAATATTAGAGTTCAATCCTTTCAATTGAAATCCATCTAATGCAAACTTAATGTATAAGCCCAAGCAAATTAAATTTGAAATTCATCAATAGTAGGCTGTGTGGGTTCTAAATGATGAGTAAGATGAGAGATATTACACGTAACACAAGGTTATCCAGTCATTGTTAGATAGGTGGAGAGCTAGACATATTGAGGGCTCAAAGACTATAGTTAGTGAATCATTTAAGCTTAGGAAGAGTACCTTATCTCAAATATGTTAATGAAGTCTTTAATGGATTTCCCTTGTCTAAAATGTCTTACGGGAACCAATATATACTCTTGAAAAAAGGGCTTTTTGTACGCTCAAATTTGAGCTAAAAAGTGAATGGCAATAAATGAATTGCAGACATTGGGCTCACATGTTTGCCATTGCATGCCATTCAACAAATCTCTACCTTGGTGAAAATTCTCACATGCCAACCATATCCGCCATTTAAATTGTCTTCTTTACAAAGCCCCCAAGGGCAACTTTCAGTGTTTTTTGACTAAGTTGTTTTGTGGAAAAGACATGATTAGTATGGAGGGTTTTAAATCCTCATTGAACTATTGGGAGTTGAGGAAAAAGGTGTTTGGGAATAGTGGAGATCAACAGGCCGAAGGGTTATTTGTGAAGGGATGAGTAAGAAAAAAGTTCTGGTAACAAGGGTCAATCTAGATCAAAATCTAGATTTCACAAGGATATAGAATTAAGGGCAAACTTAGTGGAATTGTCCAATACGTCAAATTATGAAGAAACTATAAGAATAAATCCACTAATAATTCTTCTAATGTTGCTAGAGTTGCCAAGGAAAATTCCTTTTCAGTTGTTGTTAATGATTGTCACTCCAGTGGTGAGTGAATTTTTTTATTATGGTTGTTTGTATCCCAACAAGGTTTGGTTTGCTGCTTAACAGTCTATTGATGGTGGTAGTGTCTTAATGGGGAATAATATGCTTTGTAAGACTATTGGCAGAAGCACGATATGAATTAAAATGCAGGATTATATCGTCAGAACCTTGATTTATGTTCAACATTTTCTATACATAAAAAAGAATTTGACTTCTTTAGGTACAATTGGCTCTAACGGTTGTAAGTTTTTAGTTGAAGATGGAGGTTTTAGAGTTACCTCCGGATTTAGAATCTTTTTTGTCTATGGCATATGCATTTAGGGCATAAGAGGGAGAGGGGTTTGATATAATTGAGCAAATGAGGTTTGCTCTGCAGATAAAAGAATGGAACACTGGACTTTTCTGAGCATTGTGTCTTTGTTTTCTAGACATAAAAAAGAATTTGATTTCTTTAGGTACTCTTGGGTCAAACGGTTGTAAGTTTTCAGTTGAAGATGGAAGTTTTAGAGTTACCTCCAGATTTTAGAATCTTTTTGTGTATGGCATATGCGTTTAGGGGATAAGAGTGAGAGGGGTTTGATATAATTGAGCAAATGAGGTTTGCTCTGCAGATAGAAGAATGGAAAACTGAACTAAGAATGGAAAACTGGACTTTTCTGAGTATTGTGTCTTTGGAAAACAGCATTCACAGAACGAGGGGCACTGTGATTACATCCATTTGGATCTTTGGGTCCTTCTCAGGCTCTCAGCTCTCTTGGTGGTTCTCAATATATATTGACTTTTATTTATGACTTCTCTAGGAAGTTTGGGTGCATACATCAAAGCACAAAGATGAAGTACCACTCAAGTTTAGGTAGTGGAAGGCCATGATTGCAAAACAGGTAGGGAAAAAGATCAAGTGTCTCAGAACATATAATGGTTTTGGAATTTTTCTCAAGAGAGCTCAACGAGTTCTTGAAAAATGAAGGCATTGCTAGACATTCTAAGTTAGGATCACTCCACAGCACAATGGTGTAGTAGAACAGATGAACATGATTTTCTTGGAGAGATCGGTTGTATGCTTTTTGATGTTGGGATGTCTAAGGGATTTTGGCCTAAAGCAGTCAACATCACATGCTGAGAGTTGCCTTAAGGGTTTTGTAGAGAAATAATGTTGTATGATAGATATGGTTGGCTAATCAGAATTTTCGCCAAGGCTGAGATTTGTTGAATGTCATGTAATGGCACAAATGTGAACCCATTTGTCTATCAACCCGCTTTTGTTAACAAAAGTTGCAAACATTTTTTAAGTCAACAAATGCAGTTGGTAGCTGTATTTGTGTGAGAAGGAAGCAATTTTTAGCCGCCTCAATTTGCATAGATGCTCATGCTATACGTGTTGAATTTGTGTGAGATTGTTGGGTGTATTTGGATTTTGAGTGTGAGCTACTATCTGTATCTTTTTGTTTATATTTTCATAGTGAAATTCTGTTTGTCTTTTTTGTGGACGTAGGCCAAAGGGCAGCCAGACCATTTAAATCCTTATGTCTTATTATTTTTTTCCTCTCATTATCATAAACTCCATTCGATCCTGTCATAACATGGTCATATTCCACAAAGACACCCTTTCTCATGGTTTGGGAGACATACTTCTGCCGACACTCAACTATCTCTTCCCCAAGGTAGTATTAAATGTATATGTAGTTGGTCAGTTAATGTGGTTGTTGGGAGTCGGACGAGCAATATTTCTAGGTTTTCTAGTTCTTGCTATATCATGCCATTGCCTTGCTTTTTTTGAATCTGGAGCTCTGACCCTCAGCCTCTAATCCAAAATCTACGAAGGGCTCGCTTGGTTAAGTTTTCTACAGAATAGTTTTCTATTATTAGAGAACTAAAAATAGAAAACAATTTAAAAATCTGTTTGCTTGATAATATAGTTCTCTAAAAAGTGTTTTATGAAAATGAGAAAGGCACATTTTTAGAAACACGCTCTGAAATTTGTTTTCTGTTTTCATAGTTATTGACAACTGTTTTTAAATAATTGAACCAAACAAGGTCTAACTTTGCCATAGGACTTATTTTAAGTCGTTGAGCTACAAAGGTCGTTAAGTTTTGCTCCCAACTTAATAGACTCTTTGCTCTGTTGTATAAGGTTGTGGTATTCCCTTGAGGTAATTATCACAAGATTTATTTGTGGGAAAAACTCCTCAGAGTGCTTCTTTTGAGGTTATCTGTGGAAAAAAAAAGTCCTCTCGAAGTGCTTAGTTTGATGTTTATCTATGGGAAAGAGTTCCTCCAAATGTTTGTCGTGTCTCGAGGTCTCTTTATGTGGGAGGATTCCTGGAGGAGGTTATTTTAAGGCTCAAGGTTTATTTGTGGGTAAAAACTAAAAACTTCAGCGATCTAAGGGGGAGAGTTACTCGAAGTTGTTTGCTCGTTGAGGCTTATCTATGGAGAGGAGTTCTTTGGGAGAGACTCTTAAGCTTCTCGAGGGGCTTCTAGACTCCCTAAAAACTTACAAGGTGATGATGTTGACTCAAAATTTCTTTGTTGACACGTGGAGTCCACATGGTCCCATTTGTGCAGATCATTATGCCACGAGTAACCTTTCCCCACCTCCCAACAACCACATTAAATGACTAAATACCTGCATTTAATATTTGAGCTGACACACTTGTAAGCCAACTACCTGTGAGGAGAGAGAGGTGGGTGCATTCAGAATTAGGTCCCTTGAACCACGGGAAAGGGAATCCTCACAGACTCTGATAAGTCACGAAAAACCTCTTTCGTGACACTATAATTAGGAATGTGTCGAAAGCATTAAACGAAGGAGAAAACCATTAAAGACCCCGTTAACATGTATAAGAGTCCTCCTGCCAAGCATATGTGTTCATTAACTTCCAGCTTTTTAGCCCTTAAATTTGTCTTGTTCTCAACCTCTTGTTCTCAACCAATTGTGTTGTTAGAGAGTTGTTATATTTTGTGTATTTTTCATATGAGGGTAGCTTTGTCTTTTCTTTTATTTTAGTTAGAGCTTATTTTAGTCAGGGCTTATTGGCTTATTTCTTTCTTACCATGTAAAGTATTGTGCAACCAGAACAGAAGAGGAAAAGACGAAAGATCACAATACATGTTAAGTTGCGTTATGTGTCTCTCATCTTACTCATCATTTAGAATACACTTTTTCGTGTTCACGTGTGTACTACATGCATCAGCATGTAACATATACCCACATGACGAAGGGATTATTATGGTATCATGGTCAAGTTGAACTAAGAATAAGATTTCACTTATCAAAAAAGTTGAAATAAGATTTCAAGATTACGGTCTTTGTAGAACGAAGAATGTATTGAAATTGATATATAATTGGTGGTTGGATTGTCTGATATTCTGTTGTGAAACTGTTATAAATTTGTATCCTTTTTGTTGGATCTTGTATGTATAGTTTTGAGGTTTTCGGGGATATGCCATATCTGATATTTCAATGTTGTCTTTTTGAGAAATTGAATGTTTCCAGCTAGGTAAAATGGTTAGAAACTATGTTACTTCGACTCTTAAAAAAGGCTTGAAGTACCTGTGTGGGTGGCACGACAACCAGATTTGATTATGGTTTTGTGTCTGACAAACATCATTTTTTGAGTAAAAGAGAAATATTAAGTAAGATGAATAATTAGCAGTGCCCCTTTGTTGTTCTTTTTGGAGATTTGAATCATGCCCGCACCCGAGACACATACCCGAGTTCATGTAAAATAGTCTAGAAATTAGATTGTTCCTGTCGATTTCTCATCTTGCCTTGCAAAATCACACCCAAATTCTAGTGTTGTATGATGGAGCTAGTAGTGATAGTTGGTTTTGCTTATGGAGTAGTTTAAAGAATCCAGGTTTTTGTGTTGGATAATACACGAAATACGCGGCAACTACACTAGTTTGCATTGGAAGTCCCACTTAGCAGCAGAACTTTTTTTTTTTTTTTTTTTTCTTTTCAATTACCTCAATGTGTTACGTCTCCTTTGATTTCCAGGCCCCAGTAATTTTGCTCATCTCAACTCAACTCAACATTTTCCCAACTACTTGGGGTTGGCTACATGAGTCCTTAAATTTTTTTTTCTTTGCTCCAAGGCCATAGCAGCAGTCAAACCATATGTTATCACAAATAAAAAACTAGCAAAGTGACTAATAAGAACAGAAAACTACCCTCTGATTAGTTTTGTTTATATAAAGCAGAGGTCTCTTTTTTTTAGCGGCCGAGTCTTGGCATTAGATCATGCTGGGCGAGTGTTGAGCATTCAGGCTCATTCTTTTTATGTCTGATTTGGCCTTAGCACATAGTATTAGCTGATGTCTCCTCCTTGCTTGCCCGTTGATGACGACTAATTCATTATATGAGGGTCACCTGTTTCGTAGAGACTCCTCTGCAAAATTCTTGCTCTATTTCTCATGGGCGCAGAGTGTCATTTGGATGTGACGAAAGCTGTTCTAGTAGCTTGAAAAGCTTGCACCTCTATTTTATATTGCTCTGAGAGTGTACTTAGTATTATTATTTTCTTAGAGACAACGTCAATATCTTTAGCTGTCTGATGAGAGTTTAATGGAAAGATAACTTAGTGGAAGGTATGAAAACTATATGTAATGTCATTTAAACTATTGTACTTATCCAGAAAGGTTCTCCATCAAACAATACCCCTATGAATTTCTTTGGTTATGAATAGGGCTCGCATCAAAACCAAACACATAACTTCTCCCTCTAAATGGTCACTGGAGTTGATAAAAATCCTTGCACTTATGAACTGAGCGATTTTTTTGCCCCTCATTATTCAGTTGGATGCTATCTATTACTTGTGCATCTTTTTTGACTCTTCATGTTCTCTGGTTTCTTCCATTATCGTGCCATAGAAAAGCTTTCAGTGTCGTAATAGTAATGATGTTGAAAGCCTAGACTTCAGTTGGGAAATAGGGCATTTTATTAGTTATCTTTTGTGTTTTTTCACTTTCAAATTTTGTATGGAGTCCCTAAGAGAAACCCATAGCCAAGATTTCATCTTCCCTGATGAGTTTATAGCAGTGCTTTGGAGACTAGATTGCTTGAACTACCCTCATGGCGAGGAAACTGACACTGGGCCCAAGGCCAGAGATATGGGCATTAGAACGGGAGTTTGAATTATATGCTGGTTGATTTTCATTTAGTTTATCAGGTAAATGACTTATATTATATAAATTTCCTTGCTTCAGTTTTCTCAGTTTTCCTTTCTCTGGTTTGTTGTTTCATTTTCCTCTTTTTTTTTTTTTTTGGGAGGGGTTTGTTTTGAGCCTTGCCCATTAATAACTTTATTACGATAGATGTCCAGTGGAATTGCAGTGGTGTGTCCAGCTGAGGCACCCTAACTGACTTGTAGACTTGAACTTTGTTCCTACATGACCTGATCAATTTGATTAGGCAATAGCCATCTAGTTTTATTGTTCACTCTTTGACAACACTGAAAAACCATTGTTTAACTTGTTGACAATTTGAAAAAACTAAAAGCTCTGGCCCCCTCTCTATCCATCCAAGGGATGGAAGGACATAGGCCTTTGGTGTCCCTTCCAGTCAAGAATTTGGGCCTCACAGTCACTAGCCAATATACTTTTCTCTCATGCCTGCCTTTGTTCATAGTTTGATATTCTTGTCAACAAAACATTATGTGGTAGACAAAATTAATTTGAATTAATGATAATTTGTGATTTTTAATTTTGGATTAGTGATTATCTTTAGATTAAGTGAAGTTTTTATTCCTGTTACTAGTGGCGATCAGCAAGTCATCAACGAATGGCCAGTCCTTGCTTCTGAGGATGTCAATTTCATCAAATAAATTTTTTACTTTCATAATTGTAGCTGGTTGTTTAGGATCCGCATGTATTCCTCTCATTTTTATTTATATTCCCAACTTTATTGAATTTGAGGTTCACCATTGTGTGTCCTACAAGGCTATTTTTGAGAGTGGTCAGAGTCCTTTGTACAGCCAAATTAGTAAACCATGTTCTTTTGCCTTTAAATTTCCCACTATTTAAATTTTACATTTAGTGTAATTGCTTAGTGACACTCTGCAATATTGAATAGAAAACTGAATATAAAATGATCCCATTTAGCAAATTGTTTACTTTCATAAGTAGTACTCTTTTGGGTTGGCTCTTAGGGAACCACATGATCGAGTTGAATATTGAATCCTTGTTGCATGTTACATGTATGCATCTGAAAATTGCCTTTCTACAGTTTATAGGTATTCCGTTCCCTTTGATAATATATATATCCTTTTGGAAATAAAAATTTTCTTGACCAGCAGAGAACTCTGAGAGCTGGAAAGCTGAATGAGAAGGTTTTGAAGCTGTTCATGGCAACTGGCAAAGAAGAAATCCTTTCTCTCATCCGGGCACTTAACATCCAGCACATCCTCACTCCTGTCCTTCCTACTAGTAAGTTTTATATAAAAATGTCCATACTATTTAGATGTGGATCGACTCTTTCTTGACCTCCATAATTATCTTGACAGGATGCTCAGAGAAATTCTAATAATTGGTTGACATTTTTGAGAACGTGAAATTCTTGGAATTCAAACACCAGTTGTTTTTAGGAGGCCACATTAATTCTTTCCTTTTGATTATTTTTTTACCAACATCTGACAAAATGTCTCAAGTGAGCGTCAAGGACAATGAAGTTGACATTGTGATTGGTGCACTCCACTCTGATCTTACTTCCTTCATGGACGAGTGGAGACCTATATTCTCCCGGTTCCACCTGATAATTGTCAAGGATCCCGAACTTGAGGAGGAACTCAAAATACCAGTTGGCTTTGACCATGATGTCTATACTAAGTCTGACATACACAAAGTTGTGGGCTCTTCTTCTACTGCTGTTCTCTTCTGTGGTTACTCATGCCGATATTTTGGCTATCTTAAATCCCGGAAGAAATATATTATTTCAGTTGATGATGACTGTGTCCCAGCCAGGGACAATCAGGGCAACTTAGTAGATGTTGTGGCCCAGCATATTGCTAACCTTACAACCCCAGCTACTCCTTTTTTCTTCAATACACTCTATGACCCTTATCGGAAGGGAGCAGATTTTGTACGTGGTTATCCATTTAGCTTGCGGAGTGGGGTGACATGTGCTTTGTCATGTGGACTGTGGCTAAATGTAGCAGATTATGATGCACCAACGCAAGCCCTCAAGCCAGGACAGAGGAATTCTCGTTATGTTGATGCAGTTCTGACCGTACCTGCTAGGACGATGATGCCTGTGAGTGGAATCAACATAGGTTTTGACCGTGAGCTGGTGGGTCCTGCCTTGTTGCCCGCTTTAAGGTTGGCAAGGGAAGGAAAATTGAGGTGGGAAACAGTGGAAGACATATGGTGTGGCATGTGTGTTAAGGTAGTGTGTGATCACTTGGGGGTTGGTGTGAAAAGTGGGCTACCATATGTGTGGAGAAAGGAAAGAGGTGATGCCATAGAGAGCTTAAAGAAAGAGTGGGAAGGGGTGAAGCTGATGGAGGAAGTGGTCCCCTTTTTTCAGTCAGTGAGGTTGTCCCAAACAGCAGTCACAGCGGAGGATTGTCTGGTTGAGATGGCTGCAGCAGTGAAGGAGCGGCTGGGCCCATTGGATCCTGTGTTTGCTAGTGCTGCACAAGCCATGGTGGAGTGGGTCAAGCTCTGGAAGGCAGTCAGAGCTGGATCGTCAGCATCAACTGCCTAAAGGGCGGTAATAGTTTGTTCTTCCCCCCTCCCCCGCCCCCCCGGGCGAGACTTCCGAATTTCATATGATACCTTTTTGGATCTCCTTTTATTACTAATTCATACTACATGGGAGTTTGGAAATAATAATTTTATTCAAAATGTTATAGAGATAACAGCAGATATCTTCTGGTTTGCTTTTAGTTATTATGTAAGACACTACAATTTGGTCAAGTTAATTTTATTATGCTGGCTTTTGGTGTAAATTTTTGTGTCAATAAATAACCCATACTACTGTTACTACTGAATTGGTCACAATTGAAAATATCTCTATCTTGGTATAGCGACCTTTTCATCCAAGTCTCCCAGAGGGAAGGCTCGTGCTGCCGCAAAAATCTGAGTTACCGATTTTGATTGCATCAATTATATTAGGTGATTTTTGGTTTTATTTGAATATTATACTGCCTTTGCTATGGAGGATAAACCCAAGGACTGAAAATCCTATCGTCTTAGTCCATGCTTCTAGGGATAGTGTTTTGCTGTTTTGTGTTCCGAATGCTTATTCATTTCACCTTTTTATTTCCGTCTCATTCATTCATGCCCTTCAATTTGTTGTCAGCTTATAAAACTGCCATTGTTTTGCTTTTATATGCTCTTTTTGTTGTTACATTATATGAAACACACCTGCCTTCCAACATTGGCAGGTATTTTATTTTTACTCTCAAGGAGATCGAACCGGCTTTTTGGGTGACTCGTGCAATCTGTAAATCTGGGATCAATTTTGAGTAAAGGGTTAATTTTTGTCATACGATGTTTGCATATATATTGTCTTTTTTTCTTGTCAATTAGAGGAATTTGTAGAACTGTTGACAGTTTAAATGAACAAATTACTTTGTGTAGGCTATTTCAGCCTATAATCTTTTTCTTGTTGGGGGTCTATCGAGTAAGCCGAAGGATGTCAGGAAATTGGAAGATCTGAAACTTAAATTGTTGGAATTTTATTATGAAAGGATTGAGGGTTATCATGGAACCTCTTGGTTGCCACTTAGTTGTCACATATCAGCAGTCATATGGTGCCTGCATTAATCAATTGTGGCTTTGATAAAAAAATGTTTTTTTTTTTTTTTTTTTTTTTCAATTCTGTATGGTACTTCATTATTATTATTATTTTTTTATGCTGATTAAATATATAGCGTACTCGTCTTGCTTCTCAATCTTCCACTTTGAGAGGTCTAGGAAATACCACCGAGTTACATCTATTATCTAGAAGAACATTTATTTCATTACCCTATGCTTATTGAGAAAGTTATGTCAATTCAAAGCTCTCAATTTGAAACGGGGAGGTACCAAGTCCTGTGGCCTAGGGATATCCCTTCTTCTTTCAAAGTGAAAGGTAGACGGTTCAAGTCTCTTCAAGCATGACAAGAAGACAGAATTGGGAGGGTCGGACTTGAGGGATGAAAATAGTGAGGGCTTGTTTGGCTAGCCCATAACAAAGGAAGTTAGTGGATTTCCACATTTTCTTTCAAAGTGGAAGGTAGAAGGTTTGAGTCTCTTCAAGCATACTGACAGTTAAAAAAGCCAGAAAAAGACTGTCTGAATTGGGAGGGTCGGACTTGAGAGACTGTCCGAATTGGGAGGGTCGGACTTGAGGGATGGAAGTAACGAGGGCTTGCTTGGGCTAGCCCATAGCAAAGCAAGTTAGTGAAGTCATCCTTAATAAATAGGCCTTCTCTTGCTGAGGTCCAAGACCAATCCCAAAAAGTTATCAGGGGTGATCCAAGTTGAAGTCGAAAGAGGAGAAGTTAAGTCGAGTTTAAAAAGGTCATCCGATTGTGTTCCAGTCAATCACATTGATGTCTAGTTTGCTCATAAAGGTGGTCTTGTAGAGAAGTTCGGAGAATGGCAGATTGGAGTCCCAAGCATTGGTGGCTTGCAGGGGTGACCAATGATCGAATCGGTTCGGTTTAGACATTAAACCTAAACCAATCTGATCTGTGGAAAGTTTTAATTCGAACCGACCTGCTCAAGCTGAAAACTCAAGTGAGGAGTTGTAGGAGACAGTCATTCACCATCAAAATGGCTTGCCTAATTGTTGGATTAAATAAACAAGTATCTTGCAGTATGGAATTTCTATCAGGCAAGAAACTTTAATGTTCAGCTACTGTTGGGTTGCTAACATTATAAATATTTCAAGTAGCTAAATCAACTTCATCCCACAATTTATTTCTAGTCCCAAGTCCTGATTAGTGAAAAAATACAATATATAAACGTGTAGATACATGTATTAATGTCTGTGTTTGTGTGCATATAATAAAAATTAGAAGTGGATTTCGAAATTGACATTTTTCTAGGGCATAAATGAAACAAGATTTAGGAAGAAAAGTAAAGGCTTCTCAAAATTATATTGTTATTCCTTAAAAATTTAAACAATATCACGCTCAGGATTAGGTATTGGGTGCGCCCGATGTACCGTGCACCGGGCTCATTTGAGCCGTACGTGTTGTGCACGCGTAGGCGCATGTTGTGCACATACGGCTCAGACAAGCCGGTGCACCGTGCACCCAGCGCACCCAATATATATTTCAAAAAGAATATAAGCTTGCTTGATTTAGTTTTCAAGGTGACCTTTATGCTTGGTTTAGTTTTCCGAGATGGAATAGAACCCTCTATTCGGGAGATGGAATCAAAGGGTGTGAGGAAGAGGAAGAATGGAAAAAAGTTGAAGAAACCCCAAGTTAGATGTAGTGGAAGGTATGAGGGTCTTTGCAATCAAAACAAAACCTCAAAATGATCACCCTAGCACCCTAGAACATCAAAGGTATGAACAACCACCCCTTAAAACACATAGAAGAGGGAAAATTGATCCATGAGTTTAATTTTAACATTGTGGCTGTTTGGAAACCAAAATTATCCCAGCAATTTGTGATTCTACCATTCAAGAATTACCAACTGTTGGAGCAAGCAATCCACTGTTCAAAGGTAATGTTAATTATTTCATGAGAAAGGGTATTAACTATTTTATGCAAATAAATTAACGTCTAAAGGAAAACCAAACACTAAAAACTAAATTAATGTCAAATTTTTGGACTCCATGTCATTCTTGTCAATAAGCTAACGAGTGATACTTGTTTAAATCTCAAAGTGAATTATTTAACGTACAACTTTTAATTGATTATCTTTATCAAATATAAAAATATAAAAATTTCACTTTCTTTTCTTTTCTTTTTTTTTTTTTAATATGACCTATCAAAAATTTATAAATAATGCCCGAAAGAATCATTTTCCTAATTCATTTAAGTTTTACACCACATGCCATTTATTTTGTAACTGTATATATGAACAACTCTGCAGAAGTCAAAAAATTTAAATGTTTAATGCAGACATTACATGTAATCTATCTTTTATCTTCTTTATTATTAATAGTCAGAACTTAATTGTTATATATATTAGAAGACTATGCTTGGCCAAGACACGTGACAGAAACACAAGCTTCCAACCTGGCCTATTACAACCTTAAATGATGTTTTTGTATTTTCTTTTTCGCATTTTTATTTAAAGAATATTTTTGTCCATGCCTCGTGTGAACTTGTGAGCAACTGTATATCACCGCAAAATTAAAATTTTGGTAAAATTGCTGCAGATTATATAAATTAAAAAAATGAGAAAATTGTTTTTCATCGGATGGATTAAATAAAGAGTAGACATGCACATTCATAGAGAATGATGTATACCAACTTAATATATATATATAGGTAATTAGAATATCAAGGGTGAACTAAATTTTCAGAACACCGTGCAAAATGTCCCTCGCAAGACTTTTATCAGCATGTGTGGCGCCTAAGGTAAACACATTTATAGAAAAGTGAATATACTAAAATTTAATGAATACACAACCCTTTTACCACTTCTCAACACTCAATATACCTAGGATCTCATTATCCATCACTGCAAGGTGTTGTCTAGCTCATTCTTAACTAGTTATTGAGGACCAATATTTGAAAATATTCAAGTACTAACAAGGCTAGCTGTATATAACCATGTTGCAAACATTTCCATGTAAAACAATAACTAGAACTCCTTTTAATTTGTGTTATAATTGATGTTTTGGAAGTCAGAAAAAAGTGTACGTAGGAATGATGTTAAAACAAATTGCTGATGACTTTGGAACTCGTTTGGATGGTAAAAAGGTCAAACAGGCAGGCTGACCAATTTTTTTCGGGATAATTTCGATGACTTCTTTTTGACATGAAAAGGCCATAGTCTGATCGGAAACGACCTAATTCACAAAAATCAATAGCTTTGCTAATGAGGTAAGGCACTTATCGGCCAAATTCAATTGTTTAGGGCTCAGGAATTGTATTTTCCTAATTTTGAATATTTCAAGATTTTCGTTAGGAGACTAAACTGATTCGAATCACTTTCTTTGTTGCTATTACTATTTTTAGCAATTAGGTTTCTTACTTTATTTTTACAAAATTTGATTTTGAACAGTTTCCTCATATTGCTAGTTTCCTAATGTTTTTAGGATTTCTTTTGCTGATTAGGGTTTTTATTTATAAATACATGTATCGCATAGTAGATCACTCATTTAATTATCAATACTATTTTAGAATCCTTTGTGAATTTTCTTTACTTTGTGGATTTAAAGCAACCTCTGTTCCTTGTGAACAATACCCAGCCTTCCGTTACGTCAGTTGGTATCAAAGCCTTGATTGACCTTGGTCTGATGGTTGAGGATGGTAACGACAACACCCACTCTGGTGACATTGATCATGGAGTGCAGGTCCTTTGGGCAGCCTTACAAACTCAAGCACAAAATAATGAATGGATGGAGCGCATGTTGCAGGATCTCCAACGGGCTGTCGCTGGACTTGGGATTGGTGGCAACCAGGTCTATGAACCAGCTTGACTTTGCGTCGATGATGTTCCTCGCGACCAACTGGATATGGTTGAAGCTCCTATACCTCTACATAGGCCTCCAGCTTATACAGGGTTTTCCAGTGATGAGGAGTTTGGGGGATTTGATCAGCGTGATCGTGTTAGGAAAAATAGAAACCGAGAAGACCCAGACACTCGTAATTACTAGATGAAAATAGACCTACCTACTTATAATGGACATCTTCACATTGAAGATTTCCTTGATTGTATTATTGAGGTCAAAACAGTTTTTTCGAGTATACAAATATACCTGAAGAAAAGCAGATTAACTTTATTGCATACAAGCTTCGAGGAGGCGTTTCAACCTGAGCAGGAACAGAGTAAT